CTCCCCCACATTCCCTCTGAGATTCCACAGTCTAGCTTACTTCTAGATATGTGTAGGCACATCTTAAAATAAGATTAGAATTTTAGGTCCTATATACCATCTTTATAAGAATGTCTCTAACAGCCTGGTGACAAAATTTGTAAGTTTTCAGTTATTTGCCTGCGATTGACTTACACTATCAGCTTTATTCGAGTCATGAATTTATGTTTATCAACCCTGAAAGATTAATGGTCCAAATAAGCCTGTTCTGGAATGTGTTCCTCAGAGGAAAGCCCCAGGAAAGCCTGGCTGTACTTATGTACTACACTGCCCTAACTTTCAAAGAGCAAAAGGCACTCCTTGGTCCCCAGAAAACATAAGCCCCATGCCCCATGCTAGTGGGAGTGTCTGCAAGATGCAGTGAAGCCCAGCAGTCCTGCTCCCAGGGATACTTGATGCACATGGAATGGAAAGTGGTACCCAACGCTATGCAACGGTTATTGACAATGGGAGGCCATTCCTTAGATACATCTCCTTGGATAACAGGCCGTCTTAGCCTTGCATGTATCCCTCTAAGACAGTGCTTTTAGCATAGTTGCTCAATGTTTGACTTTTTAAAGGCTAGCTTATAAAAAACATTTTAAATAAAAGATTCAGGAAGTAGTGGCTATTAATGGGTAGCTGATAACTTTGCCAGCTACTCACATATCATCCAGGCGATCACACCTAACTTGACCGAGACCATGACACTGAGAGCAGCTGATGTTACCAACCACGAATATGGGAGCCCTGGCTCAGTCATCATGCTACCCAGGTTGGGGTTAGGGTTAGACCACTCACTAACACCAGGACCTTGGGTGAGTTACTTCCTCTCTCCGAACCTCGGTTTTGTTTTGTTTTGTTTGCTATAAAATGAGGCTAGTCAATAAGTACTCCTAAAAAGAAGATGCAAGGATTAAATAGACGCAAAGCCACTTGCACAGTCTCCACCACATACATACTGGCAAAGCATTAATTCTTTTGTTCCCTCTTCCAGCAGATCTTTCTAGAAGGACCCCCATACGGATTGCAGTCGGCCCTCAAAGATTCACACTGCTAGGTGAGTCACACCTTGAACAATATTTTGCCCTGGTGATTTTCAGTCTGGAGACCAAATGTGCATCCCTACACATTATCCACAGATGGCTCTCAAATATTACTTTCCACATTTAGGCAGAGGCTTGCTGTGGGAAAACAAGCTTATTTAAAAACATAGTAATCGATGTGTTGAGTTCATGGTGGCTTTCTCATAGTCTGTCAATATACAAAGCACAGTGGTCCGGTGCGGCTCCCAATCAGACATTAGAAAGATGTCTTCACACCTGAAGGCATGGGAAAGCACGCCCAGTCATCACCACCTCATTTGCATCCCTTTTCCGGAGTGGTGCGCCCAGACCCCACAGAGCCACTGCTGAGCTGCCCGCCATGCCGGCGGTAGTCTAACGGTTAGCTACACCCCTCCTGGGAAACAAGGCACTCAGGGGAGAAGTGGTACCTGCTCCAAACTA